TATATTTCTTTAAAATACCTCTTAAATACTATAATTTCTTTTACAATTCTTTTAACATTAAAGAGTTTTACTTTTATTATTAATATAATTACAATATCTTAACAAAAAGCTTTTTATATTACTAATTCTTTATATATTAAAATTACATATCTTTAAAATAATTATCTCGTTTTTAAATTATTAGTAAATAAAGAATTAAATATTATAATACATTATATTATAATATTACTATTTATAATATACTCGATTGATAAGAATCTAATACTTTAAAGATAAGATATTACTTTTGTTATAATTATTAAATAAATAGAGCTCGAATTCTTCAAAAACTATAACAATTTGCTTACAGTAAATATTACATTTACTCAAATTATAATAATAAAATAAAAAATTAATCTAATTAATTTTTAAAACCTTTTAATATTCTTTTTAGATGATTATCTTTTATATTAAAACAAATTATAATAGAGTAAGAATATTAATAAACATTTTTCTTTTATAAGATTAAATTTCTTTACAATCTTTTTAATATAAATATTATAAATAAGCTATAGCTTTTTCAGTTTTTTATTCCTTATTACCTGAATCCCTAAAAACTATTTAATATTATCTAATTCCTTTAATATATAATAATACTCAAGTCCAACTATTATTTAAAAGACTTCTTCTTTATCTTTCTTTATATATATTATGAAATAATTATCTATAAAAGACAATAATCTTATTATTTTATTCTTAATATAATAAATATATAAATTTTCTTTACTATTCTTTAAACCTAAACATTTCAATTTCGATATAAATTCTTTATATTAAAATGTTATAAAATCCTTAAGATTATAAAGAATCTGATCTATTTTTATAATTATGTTTAATTGTTTAAAATTATCTAATAAAAAGCAAACAATAGGGTTGAAGGTATTCAGTTTAAATATATTTATATATACATTTATTATATTAAATTACTTTACTTCTAAGTCTTTTATATTATAAGCATTATTATTATTTGAAATGATATTATTATTAAAATAATAATAAGAATAATCTTAATAATTAAAGTATCTTACAAATCTTTATATATTATTAATCTAATTTTATACCTTTTTAAATAATTATTTAAATTTGATTTATAATTATATATTTATTTTAAAGATAATAAATATATTCAAGTTTTAAATCTTTTAATAACTTTTTAATAATTTATATTTTCGAGTTTTCAGATTTCTAATTTTATTATATATTTAAAATATAATTTGAAAGTATATTTCTTTAGGTTTATGTACCTTATTAATTTCTTTAATAATAATATTATATATATATATAAGGTTAATAGGGTTTTATTTAAATTTAAAAAGTTCTTTTCAGTATTAAAATAAAAGCAATTAATAATTTAGAATTAAATATTCTAAATATAATATTTAATCTTTTCTTTTTAAATTATTATATAAATAACGTGATTTATCAGTGTGCGGGTCATATCAGTGTGCGGGTCATTTTCACCTCAATTCACTCTTTCAAACTCATATTATTCAACAACCATTGAATCAATTGATTAAAACTATGAAAATTATAATAATCTAGGATCTATTATATTATCTTGACAAGTTCTTGCATTATGTCCGGTCTTTCCGCATTTACTACAGCATCGACTAGAAGATGCTTCTTCATTAGAATTCCTCCCTTTTTGACGCTCGTCGCGTTGAATCTGAATATCAACCTCTTGTTGAGATAATATATCAAGAGCTTCTTGCCCAGTAAGTACTCCTCCTTGACGTAATTGGGTTTTTTTCGCGCGTCGACGCTTGCTTAATACCTCATTTGCCTTTCGAAGTGTACGAATCTCTGCATTCAAAAGTGTATTCTCATGAGCTAATCTCTCTGTACCTTTAGCTAGAGCTAGTACAGTCTCAAATATAGGTGTAGGGGAGCTTGATTGATGTCGGGTTATTCGAGATTTCACTAAAATTGATTGAGAAAGAGCTTCAGTTGGGTTGTGAGGGGTTTGAGAGATCCATTGATCTAGATCGAAAGAGGGAGGGGTAGGTGTACGAATTCGAATATCTAATTTCGAAAGTATGGCTTCAGGGTTAAATGGTATTAAACCTGTTCCTCGAAATCCTGATTTCATATTCTGAGAGATGATTGATTCTTTATATGCAGCTTTAAAAGCTATAAAGAATTCAACCTTCGAAATATGATTGATATGTGCCTTGATAAACCCATCAATTTGACCACCATATAAACGTTTCAGATTGCTAAAACAGCCCACATCAAGTGGTTGAGTTAAATGACTTGAATGCAGTAGTAGACTTAAGTATATAATATTGTTTTCTTTGCAATATACTTGAAAAGCTCTTGATTCATAGCTTTCATGTCCGTCTAATATCAACATTCGATACCTGCCCTTTCTTCGATTCTTAGTGTGCTTGTCGAAGTGTTTCAATCATTCTAAACCTGTCTTATTGTTTGTCCATCCATTAGATGTAGGTTTAATAGCCCAATCCGCAGGAAAATCGGTTTCGGTATACCAATTGGAAAGATGAACCTGTCCTTGAACCACTAGAAATGGGGGTATAGTTTCACCCTCCCCATTGCCACATATGATTGCTGTAGCCCATTCTCTATTGCCTGGTTGTATTGCCTTGCTTCTGCCATTCCGTTCAGCACTAGTTACTACCATTCCGGGGCATATTATACCCATCATAAAGCCTGTCTCATCGAAATTGTAGAAATCGCTATCCAAAATGCTGTATTTCGCTCGCATATTCGCAATCAATTGAAACCACTCTTCAATAAGTTTAGGATTTTCGCAAAGAACTCTTTGAAAGTTATAAACACGATTAAAACGTGTCTTTAATTCGATTCGATGCTTTACGAATTGATGCGCTTAGAGCTTCCCAACGCGCTTTACACCCCTCGATTCAAGAATATGATTCGCTATATCTTCTACATTTCTTAATTTAGGTGGAAATCCTCTCAAATCCATATCAATTATATATTCAGAAATGATATTCTCTTCTAGTTCTGAAAGATTATAAGATTTAGGTTGATATTCGGAACAGAAAGTAATACCATTAATTCTATGCTGTAGTGTTGTATTCGAGATATTATATATCTTTGCAACCTTTCGAATACTTGTTTTTTTGTCTTTTTGAATAACTTCGATAGCGAGGAGTATACAGGCTTCTTGATTATTCGAATCCATTGTGGATTGTTGATAAAAACGCATATTGAAAGAAAATAGAATGAATTGAGGTGAAAATGATCCGCACACTGATATGACCCGCACACTGATAAATCACGTTATTGAACCTTTAAAAATTCATTAGGATTTATTGATTGTCCAATATCTTACTTACATCTTTACGATCAATGATATCACAAGTGCATCATTCGATGATGAGGATATTCTCCAACTTCACCGTGCCGGCTCTTGAAGCTAAGCTTCAGGTTGTTGAGCTCTCTTTCGTTCGACTTTGCTGAGCACATCCTATCCTGCATTCGGGCATGTCAAGTTCGAGCGTATGAAAATATTCTCGATCAAGTATCATGCCACATTAAATGGGAATGGATTTTAGAGAGGTCTCTAAGGATGAAGCACAATAGCTCTGGCCATTCTTTGGTGAATGTAGCTTCTCGTATGTGGTTGATACAATGGAGGTTTGAGATGATTTAGTATGGTTGATGGGGAATCTCCCTCTGGTCCTCTGGTCCCAGTTTTGCACATGGAAATCAAAAACCGACAACTTACTTTCTTCTAGTGCTGCCTAGAAGCTCCTTTAAGCCAAGTTTTAAGATCCCTACTTGCTGTTTTCGCTTTACGGAGTACTCGTAGTTGTGGTCAAGATCTTCATTCGAGTCAATATGCGGTCCAGTGCACGAAATGGTAGAGAGCTGTAAGTGATCATCTACATTTATTTTGTTGTGGGCATGAGGTTCATAAATCACGAACAGGTGCGTCGTGCTGCTACACAACCCAGGCCTCTTCCAAAGAGCGAAAGGGCGCATTCCTTCCATTTTTGGGATTTTTGAACTTGCTAACTAAGAAAAAATTGTTCAAAACAGTTCCAAGAATTTTCAAGTGAAAAATGGGGCTCACACCTACCTCAAAAACGCTTTTAATAATGCTTTTCAAAAGACCTCTCCTCATACTTCGCATTTACGACAAGGCTCCACTTCCACTGGTGGGTGCATAAATTGATGGGACACTTCGCAACTTTCACAAAATTTAACAAACTCATTCTTCAATTGTTTGATATTGGAATTTATGCTTTGATTGTTTCATCTCGAATGAACAATAAAAATAATTCTTGAAAATATAAAGTTGGATATATCAAGAGATATCTACAAGTCAATTTTTGGAGTGTCCCGTCAGTCTGTACACCCACTGGTGCTCTTGGCCATTAGATTAGTAATGTGTTCCTCGTACACTCTTCAACTCCCCATAGATTCAGGGTTTTTGCCGCGTGTATCATTATCCTACAATACCACGAAAACGGCTTTTCAGATTGTTGATTGCCATTTTGTTTTTAGATCTTCTTTCATAGTTTCTGGTAAATGATTTGAGAAATAGGCAGTTGGACCCTGGAAAAAAAAAATCTCATCCTTTGTCCCATGAAAAAGCATCGGCGTCTCTTCCTTCTTACTCTGCCTAAGGGATTAAAGTATCCTCCGGTTCATGTCTACTCGATTGCAAAAGCAATTTAGGCCAATCTTCTATGAAATATGAATCACATACATCGTGGTGAATAATTGGGACGACCTCGTGGGTTGAGACGCAAGTGCCTAAACTAGAAGAGGACATGAAGACGGTACCGTTATGATTTGTGGACCATGCTAGTTGCGAAACATCAAATCCCATTTCCTAGAATATGCGGCGTGTGGCCATGGATCGAAATCCCTTCCAGCATGAATTATTATCACTATCCATGAATGTTAGTATGAGTTGCTAAGCCCCCCCGCATGATCAATACCCCTTTCGACATAAGGAAATTTCAATCATGTTGTCCTATATCAAAGCAAGATCAAAGGACTTGAAGTTCTCCGAGTCCGAAGACCCATTGCAAATACTCGAGTGTGATTATGGAAAGCAATGACTGTAGACTTCTGGGGTCCCCTCTTCACCCCGCTGTCGAAACTGATATCGAACCTTTCTTGGATGAACTGAAAGAAGGATTTAGTCTCCACCCGTGCGATTTCGAGTCTAGTAATGGCATTGAGAACCTGAGTTGGGAAAAAGCAGTGTGAGTTTGCGCATGTGATGACATTCACATCATACATATGATTATAATATATATATCTTTGTCCGCCCATGGGAGTAGAGATGTAGGAACTGACGCGTGCCATACCGTAGCTTCTGGATATTTTCTTCATCGATCTCAATATATGCAAATAAGCTTCTGTTGTTACAGAGAGGATTTCGTAAGTTTGTCGATCTTGACAATGATGCTTACTAGTACTGAATCAAATACAGATTACCGTATGGCAGCATTCATTTATTGCCGGGACAAAAACTAATCGTCATCTAGCTCTCACAATCTCTACATTCCACTTTGGCCTGTGGTTGCTTACATTTATCATCACATCACGACATGAATCTCGCATCAATGTTCAGTCTATTCCGAAAGTCCTCCAGCAAACTCAATCATGGTTTTGGATGATGCCTGCCTCCTTGACTTCCGCAGTTGCTTTACCGTTGCTGATGGAGGCGCTTATGCATATGTCAAGTCTCCCTGTCTTGATTATGCTCTTCGTGGGTGATATCTATTAAACGGTCGCCACAAAGCTAACAAACTTCAGCCACTGATTCACCTGATAGAATCTCTCACGCTCTTTATTTTCTTTCCGCAGTCGCGTTCTTCCAACCGCCTATCTCTTGAGACTCTCGGCATCGCAATATTCACAACTTTGATTCTTTACAATGAGTATCGTCTCACTGTTCCAGGAATTATTTGTAGTATTGGAGCTTTCACTATGACCGGCCTTTCTAGAGCTCTTTTCGTTATGGCGTCTCACAAGATGAACGATCACGGGGATCAAACATCATCGTCTTATCATGGCTACATCCTGATGACCACAACTTTTGGGCTCTTCATAAGTGGCATTCTGGCCTATTATCGGGAGCGCAGCACATTAGAGTTCTATCCGAAATTAGGCACTCTAGCTCTGTTTTCCATCTCCTCTATAGCTATGGTTGCTGCAGTATTTTCTGGCACCAGTACTCTCGCATATAACCCAAGTCCTTTCTCGGCTGCGAAGAATCTGGACGCCAAAACACTTTTTGCCATTTCAGATGTCGTCGTATCCGGACTTTCTAGCATATTTGTCTTGCTGATATCATTAACATTTGGGCCGACATCTGTGGTATCTTGGATCCAATTCACTTCCTATTTTCTAGCGGTTTACTGTCTCATTGGATATTCCAAAGTTTACATTTTCTTTGAGAACATTTCGGGATTTATTCAACGCCGTCTTCACTGCCGATTGTACAATACAGCCTCGAGTCCGACTCTTCAAAGAACATATGTATTTATGTTAGAGATCTCGCTTACTACCTTGGCTATAGTTGCTTTATATGCATTATCCCTATCCCAGCTAATCAGATTACAATCCGGCCCCGCCTCCTCAATGGACAACTTGTATACGCCAGAATCATCGTCCTTTGATATTGTCATTAGCGCTTACAAAGAAACACCTGAGTCGATCGCACGGATGTTGAAGGCTATAAAATCAACATCATACCTATCCTCACACAATACACGTGTTCTTATATACACCAAAGACCCCACCGTTTCATTGTCAATGTTGAAGAACTCTACAGGAGCCGATATTGTTGAACGGCTTTCCAATCTTGGTCGCGAAGGAGGAACGTACCTCAGTCATATCGTTACTCGTTGGAATGATTTGGCAGCACAAACTATGTTTATTCAAGCTCATGCCCATAACATCAGGGAGCTCATACCACGAATTGATTCGTACCTAGTACCACAAACGGGGATGTTGAGTCTTGGATTTTCTGAATCTACTTGTTCTTGTAACGACTGTGGTGACCGATTTGGATGGACTGACGACTGGGATGTGGTCCCAAATCTGTACAAAAGTATCTACGGATCAAGTTGTACCGACTCCACCAAAATCCTTTTGTCATACAAGGGACAATTTATCGCATCAGCTAGACGTATCCGCGGAATTCGTCGAAACATATATGAGGATCTGTTGTCTACAATAACTAGTGAGATTGGATGGAGTCATGATTCAAGATTTGTGGAAGAAGATGATTCGCCTGACAATCCTTCATTCGGGTTCGCTGTCGAGAGAATATGGGGTTTACTGATGCAATGTGCGAGCGATGATCGGGTTCCAACGAAGTGTCCTTCTTTGCTCAGTGGGATGACGACTAGAGGTGATGTTGGAGACTGCCAATGCTTAGATTCGCAATAGAAACAAGATTGGCTGGATTTTGAATTCTAGGACGGATTGAGTTGGATTGGTACATGGACTTTGTCGCAGGTCCAGGTTTATATCTTTCTTACCAATAGCATTTGCAGCGTGGAGTTATGGCTTGGATATACCACAATAGATCGACTGTAGATCAGAAGCTTACTCCGAAGAAGCTTTAGGCAATTTATTTTTTTCTTCCCACTCGGGCCAACTGCAATCTGGCTATCTGCAGTAATACCTCGGCCAAGGTTTTCCTTGGCAAGTGCGATTCATGAACTCATCGATCAGCTAGCCACTAAGTCGGGTACCCTACTTTCGGGCCACCCCCCTTTTGGGCCACTTTTTACACCAGAAATGGAATTTTTAACTTTCTTATTTATGAATAGAATTTATTGAAAATTTATATATATATAATTTAGATCATTTTGAATCTAATCTGAAAATTTTAGATTTTTAGGATTTTTCTGTATTGAGATCTAGAGCTTCAAAATATCGATTTTTAAATTTGTATGAGAATCACATACAAATTTGAAACTTTTATAAAATCTTTAATAACTTTTTAATAAAAATTATTAAAGATAAACTATAAAATTTTATTATAAATTTATAACATGTTTATTTTGAAGGATTTAGAAAAAAAAGAAAATTTCCTATAAATAGATATTTAAAAGAATACCCTCAAAATTATAAGGATTATTTATACTATTTCAAGCTCATTGTATATTATATCTTTATATCTGTTAATTTTTTTGAATTTTTTTTAAATTTCTATATAGATTTAAACTCAAAACTTTCAAAAAGATATATAGTTTTCTTTTAATAATTGTTATTAAAAAGTTATTAAAGATTTTATAAAAGTTTTAAATTTATATATAATTTCCATACAAATTTAAAACTCTAGATTTTAATACAGAAAATTCCTAAAAATTTCAAAATTTCAAAATAAGCTTAAAATGACTTAAATTATATATATTCAAATTTTTATTAAATTAGATTATACATTGATAAAGATATTAACAGGCTAAAAAAGCGATTTTTGGTGTAAAAGGGTGGCCCAAAACAAGAGTGGCCCAAAAGTAGGATGGTCGACTTAATGTTCTTAGGTGCTGTCAGCTGAACGATACGTAGTACCTCCATCTAGATGCTCAAGTTTACATCGCATCATTGCTTTCGGTAGATAAATTGGATTGCGCATCTATAAGATGAAGGAAAACATTGAAAACTTGAACTTTGGTACTCTTTTTCTTTCACAGTAGGTGTAGAATAAATCATGACGAACACAAAAACTATCCAGCTACCTCATCTGGGAGGAATAGAAGTAGGGTATGTCTAAACAATCTCCCTTGCTTACATTCCTTACATAAGTCACGCAGAATTAGAACTGGTACTAAACTCACAGCTATCTTATGCCCAAGACCTACAATCCCTCGAAACCGACTCTTATTCTTGTTAATTCATTTACAACATCATCAGAACTCTATCGCCAGCAATTCGAGAATGAAGAACTTGCTACAGCAATGAATCTCCTAGCTATGGAGCCATTGGGTCATGGACAAACGAGAACCAAAACCGAGAATTGGACTTAGTGTGTTTTAATTTCCTTGCCGCGCATTTATTTATCTCCTTCTTCCTTTCTGTATCTTTGGATGTCTTAATGTCGCGGTAGCAGGGTATTGCGAGACGAAGACTGATACTCGTCAAGCTGGGACACGGCAATAGCAAATATACAGGCAATGGATGCTCTCTCTATTGAAAATGCCTTTGTCCTTGGTACCTCGCAAGGTGGTTGGTTGACCATTCGCATGGCTCTCATTGCACCCAAACGAATACAAGGTGTCATTCCTCTGGGAACATCCATGGACTACGAGTCTGAAAGAACACGCTCTCTTGGTTGTTGGAATGCTTCAGCCGCACCAAGTCAAATTATTAAGAAAGCACAGCCGATCTCAGGTTATTAACTGAGGATTTCGAGCCAGATGATGAATATTGCAATCTTTTGGTGAATATAAGATTTAATGATTGTTCATATGATGTTCGAGAATTTTGGATAAGAACTATTAAAGAAACATACCGCGGAGATGAAGGTAGGAGGAGAATTCGAATGGCAGCCATAAATCTCAAGGAGCGGGACGGATTGCATGGCCGCTTGTCAGATGTGCAATGTCCAATTCTTTGGTTACACGGAACGTCAGATGCCGTGTACAGTTTATCGAATGCGAAAGAAGAGATCCAGTTGTTTGTTAATGCTGCCAGTAAGGAGCTAGTCACTGTGGAGGGAGGTGCTCATTTCTTGAGTGCAACGCATCCAAATGAGGTGGGCAGGGCTTTAGTTGGATTTGTCGAAAGACAAAAGAATTGGAAATTGGAAAGTTAAACGGTCTTTGCTATTTCTGTGGTTTACGGCTTTTATACTCATTTTTTTTTGGAATTTGGTCAGACCTATGGCCTACTTGTTGTTGGAAGAATGAACGTGATCACAATAACTAGCGTTTGAAGCAATGAGATATCAATATTAGCTCATTATCTTAGAGATTATCCTCAAAGCTTCAGTCTTTGGTTTTTAGGTGGGGTTTAGGCATGCTGGCTGCCCAAAATATGCTAGCATCAATTCAGTGAGATTGCATCGACGTGGGTTTGACGAGGCAAACAAAACTTATTTACACCAGCTGATGAAACACTCATGAATTTTGAGAAGGACGAGGCAAAAAGGCCCTACACCCAGACTCCTTTGCCAGGCCAAGGGAGAAATTCAATACAAGAAATGGAAGCGAGATGTTGAAACTAAAGAATATCGAGAGTGACCTGTGTCCACAGAACTTTGTGCGAAAAACGTTGTGGGAAGGACAGCCAACGGTCTTGGCTTCACAAGAAAGCCGACTATTGCGTAAAGAGGAAGCACCAAAATTCCAACGTATACAAAGAAAGCAAATGACTAAGGGTATGGTTGCTGATTTGGAAAGTTTACGGACATGAAGAGAATCTGTACCGAAGAACCCTCGGAGACCCGACTTGAAGGCACTACGCAAACTGACACCCAAAGACCTGCGTGCGATCAAAGAAGGGTAGTCTTGGCGGACTGAGAAGAGAGTGAAAGTCATGGAAAGTATTAGAAATTCAAGGGAGGTTTCCGCTGTGGCTCTCATACTCATTCATTGAACTTCCCTACAATATGAGAGAGACGTCCACAAAGCACATTTTGCATATTTCTTCTTGACATTCTGCCAAGTATTCGTCTCGACATAAGGCTTCGTGCGATACTAACAGCGCTTGATCGGGCAGTGGTTGCCGCACTGTCAACGATATCCTAAAAGTATGCAGGGTGAAAACCCTTTCATGAAAACATCGCAGAGGTTGAGATTCCATGATGCCAAAGTTCAACAATCGTCCGGTCGGCCCACTTGAAACCTCCATGAATATGTTCTATTAGACTGGTATGTATTTCAATCCGTGAAAGATTCCGTTTCGATAGGAATTTCTGCGAGATCATAAGTGAGCTTCACACTCCACACAGACGAGCTGAGGAGGCAGCTCCGAAACTTTTAACAATTCGCATTCCTTTCGCGTAATCTTCTTATAATAATGAATATCAATAGCAAAGTCTGCTCACTCTTTTGACAAAGTTTCGGTATTCAATTGTAAAATTGCATGCAGTGAAACATACACATTGAGATTACAGCGTTGGTTGGGGTCTTACGAAAGTAGAGCGAGCCTTAATCTACCACCGCCACCACGCCCGGCAGAATTATTAAGAATCTCTCCTCCCACCTTTCTCCAGCTGCCCATTCCGATCAAAAAATCAACTCCTCTGATCCCGTCATCTAATCACCACACCGTCGACAGTGAACGAGGGCTATGAAAGTTTCGGCCGGTCGGAATTAAATTCTGGTGAATCGAGTATTGGTTTACAGCTTCGGCAGCTCTGCGCCCAATGTCCTATTCTTTCAGATTTGAGCATATCCATTCTTCGATTCCTAGAGTGAATTTATTTTGATGGGGTTTCTTATCCCTTAATCTTCGTTCGTTCATCTACAAGATCCAATTCCAGACCTTGTTACCCTACGAGGCTCAAGACTTTTCAGATACTGAAGAGACTACTGCCTTTCGATACTTACTAGGTAGATATCTTTGATACTTTGGCACAGGTACTTGGTGGTGCCGCAAGTTTTTAATTCCACTTGCAGTAAAGCTATCGTCTTCAATTCTACTTCCGGGCGGACTTCTATGCACGTCAAGTTGACCTGATAATCCATTGATTGTCTCTGAGTTCCGGTCAAGCACATTGGGTCCTACAGAGAGATTTACTTTTCTATTAAAAGTACCTTGTACTTCTACGACTTCATAATGTGTTTTCTGTAAGTCGATGAGATTTTCGACATCGTTTTCCCTGGCCATCTCTCCCAAACTACCTTGAGAAGGCAATACTCCGATGGTCCGACTCTCCTCTCTGTTGTGATCTCCTAGTGGAGCTGGGGACTAGGTAGTACATAGTATAAGTAACTTTCTTCAAGATCGACAGCCTATTTCACATACTTCAATCCTGGATCATCCCACTAACTTTGTCTTCGAAGCTGTAGTGGCCCTTCTACAACTCGCAATTTGCTCCAATACAAATAAAGTCATCACTATCGGCCTTCAATCCAATGAAGATCATCTTCAGCTGAGGTCAATATTAATGTTCCTCGAAATGAACCTTAATTTTGCCGGATACCGATATGTTGTTAGCTTGACTGTCGTTTTTCTGCATGAATCTTGTGCATCCTGGCATCGCTAAGATGGAGAACAAGTGGTCTACTTGGATTCTTTCGACAATGTTTAGGGGACAGAAGAACACCCCGTGTAAAGTCTCCGAAGTATCCACTTGATATACGAATTCTCCGAGCTGTTAGACCATGGCAGTTGATTTCATGCATAATTGTACCTCGTGGCCAACGATCATAGGAAGGCGATATGCTATCGTGGATCTCGAGAGAAGATTTAGAATCATTCTTCCCAATGACCCAAAACGAACAAATCAACTCCCAGAATTATTACATCGCGTCGGGTGTCTACCTCAGGCATTCATCCGCAACCAAACACGTTGCTGATGGCGACGATTAACGCAGAATCAAGTGGGAGATAGTTGAGAGGGGATTCACATTGGCGGTTCACAGAATGTGGATACCCAGAGCCCCTGATAATGGAAGGTAGCATGGTTATCGTTTATCAACTTCTGTTGTGACAACTATGGTACTCACCGTTTTCAAACTCGGAAAGTTCCCTAGAAATAGATTGTTCTTTCATTCCGTCGTTATTAGTCAGAGAACTCTTATCCTATCATAAGTCATTTCCAAAATCTGACATAAATTCAGGCAGTGCCTCATTTGAGATATGGTTCAATGTGGAGTATTACAATGATACTCGAAGACACAAGAAAATTTTCCAATTCACACTGCTGTAGCAGTAGCATGCGCATAGTGTAGATATGAGGAGTCGTCAACCCCATAAAACTGTATAGGAATATGTCTAACACATCTCATGCAAGCTTTAAGCGACCGTTTGTGAAAACGATGACCATCTCACGCTGCGTGGGTTGGATTGGGATGTTTGGCCTCGCATTGAACTTTGATTTATCGCAATCATCTAAAAGTGAGTATCTGTTGATCACAAAGTTATTATTACATTCTGCAAGCTCTCAAGACAAAGTCTGGTAGCAAAAGATTATTCTTGCTCCGCTTTTCGATATACAGGTATAGTCAATTTGATCGTTTAAAAGCATCCGCTATCACCATCACCCGCGTTAAAGATCCGACGAAAATCATCAATCACAAATAGGTGCCTTGGTACTATCAATTTGCAATTTTTGAATGACAGTCACAAAGCTTTTTTCATCTCAATCAATCCGATCAATTCTTGTGGCACAGATAAGCCCGTCAATTGACACCTGTAGGTTTCAAATGAACAAATGTTCAAATTCAACTACGAATCATATCACTACAAAATACCCATGCCGTGAAATCTTCGAGAAAGAATCCGGCATCCGCTTCTAAATCTGTTGTTCGGCTAGCGTCTTTCGCCGTTGAAACTAGCTAAACTACCACGTTTGACATGATGAGGCTTGAGCGCTTCATGCTCCTAGCATTTTCTTTGCCAACTTTTGAACTATTCATATTTAAGTTATTTTGGTCTGTTCTATTAGTTTCAACATGAAGAAAAGACACCATACTTTATTGTAAAACCTATTAAGTTCTCGGAATTCCCTGCCCCCGCCACCCCCCTCAAAAAAGGCGATACACAAGAATTTGTGATTTGTTACACGGTTCTCACTGACATCCGGGCTACTGTAGTACGAAACTGGATAATACCAGGAATTGATTGAACACTACCAGGGATGTTATGGCGAGCGAAAGCATATAGTGATCTGCTTTTGAGGCGTAGTGCATCTATACGTTTTTCTGTTATGTGTTATAGTGCTAATCGTCCGACTCTGGAACTCCGCATTGTAGCAATATTCAGTGTATACTTTGGTTTCACCCAATGCTCCATCGTGCGACTTTCGTGAGATAATGAAGCCCAATTTTTTTGATATAGTTATTGATCGTCATATCATTCCATGCCCATTATTGACATAATATTCTGGGGTATCGAAACATCTCGACGTTCGATATATGAATACTCAGAGAACCAGTTTGATTGCTACACTGTATAATGGCTCTATTATTATAACCCCTCCTCCCCGCTGTCTTACTTTCTTCGTTATCCTTTTTAAATATAGGTTGCATTGTTTCTATAGTCTTTCCCTTGCACTATTGTGAAAAGTCCAGTTGTTTGGAGTCGTACTACCTTGATTTGGTAATCTCTAGATTATATGTCAGTTAGAACCATCTAAGCGATATCAAGCATCATGGCATTGAGAAGCCCAGCTAGAGATTACTTGGTCTCTATGATCGGTGAACTAGTTGGCACTTTTCTGTTCCTCTTCTTCGCGTTTGCTGCAGCACAAACCGCAAACCAACCCAACGGAACTAAGCCTCTTACACCCAACGCGACTGATACATCAAAACTGTTATATATCGCCCTTGCATTTGGATCTAGTCTTGCAGCAAACGTTTGGATTTTCTTTCGTGTCAGTGGGGGGCAGTTTAACCCGGCCGTCACTCTCGCGCTCGTGCTTGTTGGAGCAGTGTCTCCTACGAAAGCATTGATACTTATACCTGCTCAACTTGTTGGTGGAAGTTTGGCTGCTGCAGCAGTCAAAGGTATTATACCGGGAGATGAAATACTTTTCGCAGTATCACTTGGACCAGGTGTTACAGATTGTAAGCATGAACAATCCAGGGAAGCGAAAGACACTTTACTAATTCGATCTGGATAAAGTCCAAGGCTTATTCATGGAACTAATCTTAACCTTTATGCTCGTATTCACAATTCTCATGCTCGTCGCCGAAAAGACAAAGTCTACATTTGTCGCGCCTATCGGTATTGGATTTTCACTTTTCATTGGCCACCTTGTCGGTATCTTTTGGACAGGGGCAGGAATCAATCCTGCCCGAGCTTTTTCACCGGCCATCGTTCAAGCTTCATTCCCAAGTTATCATTGGATTTACTGGTTTGGTCCTGCTTTCGGATCTTTCCTTGCCGCAGGATTGTACTTGGGACTGAAAGCCATGAAGTATGAATTGGTTGGCGGGGATGCGGATAAAGAAAAACAGGAGGAGGGCTTAAGCATGCAGCAAGCCGATCTTATTATTGAAACTCTTCGCGGACTACCCAGAGCGATACAAGGATCTGGAGCTTTAGGACAATTCGAAGGTACGGCTAAAGGTCAAATGTCTCCCATAGATTTGGAGAGGGGGTTCGATGTTAAAATCTTGACGGATGATCCAAACATTCGGAAGAGCCGATTTGGATCTCCTGATTCTACGGGTTCAACAATCTAGATTTAGGTAACTTCTTTTACGGCAATTGTTATGCAATTTCTTTGAACTCAACAAGACATTGTTGATCGACAATTCCCAGAACAAAAGATATGTATCTGGCGAGTGAGTGGATAAAGGGTGGCGGAAGAGTAGGGGGCAACATGAGAATAGGCATGTAGTACAACAGACGAGTTTCTGGGACGATGATAACGATTCATTCACGATTTTTATTTTAAGTGGAAATATGGGACCAATTAATTGGATCATAGGCGTTTGTCGGGGAGTTTATTCCAAAAGCACAAAATTATATTTGTCGAATGATTCTACACCACAGACCACATTCAAGTAGACACTTTGAGCGGCTTTTGATATTACGCTCATTTTTAATTATAATGTTTTTAACCTACCAAAAATGCTTTTCTTTTTGTGCTTAGACTTCGCAACAATAACCTTAAACAATCTCTCTCAGCCTTAAATCATCGAGACACTAATTTCAAACTCATCTGGTCCTTGAAACAGTTTCGGTGCAAACAAAAAAAAATGATACTGTGGTCCACTAGCTCCGATGGACGTGCGAGTCCAGTCGCTGTCTGATGTTTACCTTATGCATTAGATAAATCCGAAGACGTCATTCGTACGTACTATTGCTAATAAGGGCTCCAAAATAAAAGTTCTTCGTTCTGGAACTTTCTTGCTGTCATTGTATATTGTGGTGGCTAGACACTTCTTGAAAGTTGTGCTCTCTTGTCGCTAATCGTCTGGCAATTATGTTCAGTGACATTGCCCGCACGATAAGCCACAAAGTGGACGACAATCTAAGTCGGGGTACCCTACTTTCGGGCCACCCTTGTTTTGGGCCACTCTTTACCACTAAAAATCTCAAAAAATGGAATTTTTAACTTTCTTATTTATGGATAGAATTTATTGAAAATTTGTGTATATATAATTCAGATTGTTTTGAATCTAATCAGAAAATTTTAGATTTTTAGGATTTTTCTGTATTGAGATCTAGAGCTTTAAAATATCGATTTTTTAATTTATATGTGTCACGGTGTGAGATCACGTGACATATTGTACCTCTCGGAGGGGTCCGGAATGGGCGCTTACGCCGGAGCGCAAGTGAGCTAGGGCCCGATCGGGCTAGCTCGCTTGGGAAAATTCTATATATCTTCAACTTGAAAGATCCTGTATTGTAGCTCTTCGAGCTACGTCTTAATCCTAAAATCTGAACCTATTATCCGAATCGCTACAACTTTGCTATATTAGGGCAAAGTTACTGGAGCCTTATTCTTGCCTGCCGGCCCCGTGATAATATGAGAATCATATATAAATTTAGAACTTTTATAAAATCTTTAATAACTTTTTAACAACAATCATCAAAAGAAAACTGTATATCTTTTTGAAAGTTTTGAGCTTAAATCTATATAGAAATTCAAAAAAAAATTCAAAAAAATTAACAAATATAAAGATATAGTATACAATGAGTTTGAAGTAGTATAAATAATCCCTGTAATTTTGAGGGTATTCTTTTAAATATCTATTTATAGGAAATTTTCTTTCTTTTCTGAATCCTTCAAAATAAACATGTTATAAATTTATAATAAAATTTTATAGGTTATTTTTAATAATTTTTATTAAAGCTATTAAAGATTTTATAAAAGTTTCAAATTTGTATGTGATTCTCATACAAATTTAAAAATCGATATTTTGAAGCTCTAGATCTTAATACAGAAAATTCCTAAAAATCTGAAATTTTCAAGCTAAACTAAAAATGATCTAAATTATATATATATAAATTTTCAATAAATTCTATTCATAAATAAGAAAGTTAAAAATTCCATTTTTGGTATAAAAAGTGGCCCAAAAGGGGGGTGGCCCGAAAGTAGGGTATCCGACTTAATAAAGCTTTTGGTTGTGGATCTATCGCGCATGTATTTTATTTATATAACTCAGGTTGGTTACGCAATCTCGAAACAGTAGTCAATAAATTTACCTCTACGCACAAATTGGAACAAACAGTCCCAGGTGCAGAATCGAGTAGGTGCTGACATTTGAGATAAGGTTTACATTGTATCTACATTGATATCATATATTGGCAGCATTTCCGTTCTCACCTGAGCTAATAACTGGTTGGTCCAAACCGACAAATTTACCCTCTTCAACTTTAGCAAATAGATCGTCAAACCTTTCAAGAGCAACTTGATAACAATCAAAACCATAAATCTTCTTTTGAGCATCAGCATCGGCCCACTTGTCTGAAACTGCTCCCCCCTTTTGTTTCAATGCAGCGAATTACTTATCTCTCTCTGCCTTCGCAGCTCCATCGCCTAAACGTAAGGCTCGACCGGATTGTGCAGCCAGCTCAACAAGGGTCTCGGCTCGTTCTTTTCTGACGCTCTCATAAACGAGTAAAGATTTGTTGATATCTGATGGGCTGTTTGAAGGACATTTGGAAAACACCGCACCTAATACGGCAGCATCTGCAATTGCTTGAGCGGCACCCTGAGCTAAATGAGGAAGAGTTGGATGGCAGGCATCTCCGACTAATGCAATGGATCCTCGGACCCAAGTTGGGAGAGGACTGTGGACACGAAGTTTCCATTCGCATACCTCACCATCAGGAACAAGGTTCAACATACGTTGAACTTTAGGGCAGAAGTCTGAGAATATGTCCAACATAGCGTTCTTGTCACATTTACTAGTATAGGTAGCTGAGGGAGCTGCAGCAAAATTTGTGTCGGGTTGGACTGTGGAGAGGTTATAGATCTGCTTGCTGGAGACTGGGTATGCGATGATATGCCTCTTCTCTCCAATCCATCTTGTGACCTTATCTCCATTGATAAGTTCCAGAAGTTCTCATTAATTTAATTCTAGAAATCAGTTTCAATACAAAACCTCTTTTTTCTCTAATATTATTAAACTAAATATAAATTTTAATTTTTTAGATAATTTAAAAAGACTTAATATGATTTATTAGTATGTATACTATATTAGTACATATATTATTTTTACTTCAATTTATATTTTTCAATTTCAATATGCGATTTATTAATTATTTATTATATGATTGAATAATAAAGAAAGTAGAACACTTTCAGCTATTAAAATTATTAAAATAGATAAAAAACTCTTGATTTGAAAGGTTATTAAGCTATATAATATTATATATATAATACTTATTTAAAGAATAAATGAGATTATTCTTATAATTAAATTTCGATTATAGAATCTGAAATTTATTGAAATAAAAGAGTAAATGATCATTTTATATATTATTAATATAGATTTGAAAGGTTTTCTTTTCAAATTAAAAAAAATAGAAGATATAATAAATTATATTTTCGAATTGAAAAAAGAAAAAGTTGTTAAAAAGCTTTAAGTATATTAATTTGCAAAATATTATGAAGAATTAAATATATATTTTAATTATATTTATGATTTTCAAAAAGCTTTTTAAAAAGATCTTAAACTAATTAAAAAATGATTTCGATTAATTATAAATATATAAGCGAAATATAACATTTTGAATAAAGATTTCTATGATTTCGATAAAATAGGTTTTATAATAAAGATTATGTATGAACATTAATTATTAGAATCTAGTAAATAGCTTTAATTCATTAGCTACTATATTGTAGTCGTTAGCGAATACGAGATATAGTAGCTTCAAGCGAAAGTAGAAGAGACTAGCTCTTCTTGTAATGTCTATATAAGACCTACAACTTCCTATACTTAACTAGCTCTTTAAATAGAATATAATATAGACATTTAGAACCTACGAATATTATAAGTACTATGTCTTCTGTATTCTTCTCGAATTAATAGATTATAGTAGTAATAGTAAATTCATAATCGATTCGGTCTATCTAGCTATATTAAGACTATACGATATGCCTGTATATAGTTCTAATTAAATAAAGTAAATAAAAAATAGAAATAAAAACCCATCCTTCTTCAAACTTTCTTATTAAGATCTATAAGCAACCTTTTAAGTAATTCTTTTAAATCCTTCAAATCACCTATATTATAGATCTATTATATCTAAAAACCTTTTTTTATTAAATTTTTTGATATATTTATAAAAACTTTATATTTTCTATTCTATTATAATAATCCTTTTCTTTCTATTCAACTTCTTTCAAAATATGATAAAAGTTATGGTTAATTATAATGTCGTATTTTTTTTGAAGAATTATTTTTGTCCTCTAATACTTCAAGTCCTTTGGGAATCCTATTATAACTCCTAATTCATTACTTATAAACTTTATATCCATCTTTTTTCATAGTATATCGATAATATATAATTTCTTTTTAAAGTCTAATATTTTTTATTCTTTTTTCTCCTATTGAATTACTTTATTAATATAGAACATAATATATTAGGATTTATTGAATTACCTTATCGATATAGAGGATAAGATTGTATTTAAAACTAAATGATTGAATAAGATCGAAATAATAGGTATAATAATATTAGAATGTTATTGTTTTAATGATATATGCTTTGTATTAAAGAATTATTATTTCTTCAATTATAATAATAATATATCGTCTACTATACAAGATAATATCGAAATCGGTATTTCGTAATAATATTATATACTAATATGAAATGTTGTATATTTGAATTAGTATATTGTAAATGTTTTTCGAAAGGTTTGACTTTTTTTATTATTATATAGAATAATTATAAGTATATTAATAGAATATTAAATGTTATAATGTAGTTTATTAGTGGGTCGGTTATATCAATAAATTGGCTACTTTTACTTCGAATTGTTATTTCAAAGTTATATTATTCAATAATAACTAGATCAATTAATTAAAACTATTAAGAATTTAATAATCTAGGATTTTTTATATTATTTTGACAGATTCTTATATTATAATCTATCTTTCCGTATTTACTATAATATTAATTAAAAAATACTTCCTTATTAAAATTCCCCCCTTTTTGATATTTATTATATTAAATTTGAATATTAATCTTTTGTTGAGATAATATATTAAGAGTCTCTTGTTCAATAAGTACTTTCCTTAATGTAATTGGGTTTTTTTCGTATGTTGATATTTGTTTAATACTTTATTTACTATTCGAAATATATAATTCTTTATATTTAAAAGTATATTTTCATAAGCTAATCTTTCTATACCCTTAATTAAAACTAATACAATCTCAAATATAAATATAGGAGAACTTACTTGATAACAAGTTATTCGAGATTTAATTAATATTGATTGAGAAAGAACTTTAATTGGATTACAAAGGGTTTAAAAAATTCATTGATTTAGATTGAAAAAGGGAGAAGTAGATATATGAATTCGAATATTTAATTTTGAGAGTACAACTTCAAGATTGAATAGAATTAAATCTGTTCCTTGGAATCCTAATTTTATATTCTAAAAGATAATTAATTTCTTATATATAACTTTAAAAGCTATAAAGAATTTAATCTTCAAAATATAATTGATATGTACTTTAATAAATCTATTAATTTAATTATCATATAAACATTTTAGATTACTAAAATAGTCAATATCAAGTAGTGAAATTAAATGATTTAAATATAATAATAAACATAAATATATAATATTATGTTACGGAAGCTGCCTCTAGGGTTATATGGAAGTATCTAGAATTCTTTCGAAGTAGTTTAAACTAGACTTCAAGTAGGAATTCAATAAGGTTGTAATTAGTTGTAATTCTTGTAATTATAGTAATAAAACTAATAATTATTTTTGAATATAAAGCTTTATATTATAATGAAATCCATTCTCTATATAAACCTTTGTACTAAAGTTGACCAGCAAGTCGATTAATAAGTCAATTAATAAATCGATCAGTTTTTAATTATATAATATTTATCTTATGATTTCTATTATCTTAATTTATTCTTTTATCCTGAAACCTAATCCCCTAGAACATTACTAATCCTAGTGAAGCCTTCTTGCTTATTATGTTTTGTCTTTCCTAGGACCTACTATCCTGGGAACTATATTCTAGGTTTCTAGAGTATCCTATGATTAATACTATATATATGCCTGAGGCGTTTCTTGAGTGCCTAGTGTCCTTCGATATACTATAACTAAATCACTGAGGCCTATAATACTATTATAGCTTATAAGTCAGTGATTCTATAGTCTGTTATTAATTCGTTGTAACACTATCCTCTTCTTAGCCTAGCACTTGTTCCAAGTGTTTATATTAGTACGTCTTCCCTTTCGTTTACTTAAATAATTATAATGTTTTCTTCAATATGCTTCCTATACAAACAGTTTCTGTTCATAATATTCTTAACTTGGTTCGTTACATCAAACATTCTAATACTAAAAGAGACTCTTGTGATTTGTGTATCAAATTCAATTGTTGTTATATTATTAATAATAGTTTATTATAGTGTTATACCAAATATATCCATTATAAAAAAGGTCATTGTTATTCTAAGTTAGAGATGCCTACAAATTATAAATCTTTAAAGCGATAACAAGAGTTACTACATTTAAAAAAAGAAAAGGCTTTTGCTTAATCACAAAAGATTAATACTCAGATTTTTCAATTGTATAAGCAATAAGAATTTCTTTGTAAATATGAAAAGAAGATAATTCATTGAGATCTTTGTATATTAAAAAAGCTTGATTTAACTAAAGAGAATGAAAGATTAGAAAAGGAAAAATTGGAAAAGGAATGTGTAGAGAAAGAAACAATAACCATTATTACTATATCTATTCCTAATAATTCTTCTTTTGATTTCTTTAATCTCTTATTGTTTTTATTGTTTGATACAAAGCTTAAGGCTTTATTAACAGATATGAATACTTTAGGTAAAATACCTGTAGCTTCTTAGGGCAGCTGAGGTCTTCCCTGAATTCCCATATGTTTTTTGAATATAAGTAGTCTAATTATTTGATTAAATATTTGATCTTGTTTCTAATGTATTTGTAATCTAATATTGTTTCGATATTGTATATAATGTTTGGATTGATTAATTCAATTTTTGTAAATAATATATTTGATATTTTTAATGGTACTAATTCGAGTAAGGATATATGGAATATTAAATAAATATTCATTATGTTTAGTAATTTCAATTGATAATTAATTGTTTCTATTATTTTATTAATCTTGAATAGTTCTAGTTTCTTATGGTTGAGTTTATTACTTAATCTCTTGATTTCAATGTTTTATTATAATAAATAAACTTTATTCCCCTTTTTAAGCATAGGTTTTATATTACGTTTTATATTGTAGTACATTATTATTCTGGAAGATATGAATTTTAGATCAAAAGTTAGTTATTCTTAAAGATCTTTCAGTTGTTCGACTTATATTATTGTTAATTCAGTATTAACCTTTTATAATATTGAGATTTTATATACTTATAAATTAAAACCAAAATTAACTTATACTAAAGTGATTTTTGTAGTTTCCATTTCTAATGTATTATATACAAATTGTGCTATAAATAATAGCTCTACTTAATTATCTTATTAATAATTTATATAGTATTTAAGATATACTTCCATTATCTAATTAATCCTCTCTATTTAATTATTTGTTTATAAATGAAAAGATATCAATAGCTTTCTTTTAATACCTATAAGTACTAATAAGGTAGTTCAGAATTTCGAAATAAAAAGCTTATTTCGATTCGAGATTATCTCATTTAATACTTCGTATA